AGAGATCGACGAAGAACGGGTTTGGCCAGGGTTACTTGGTAGAGGGAGCAACCAGGCATACCAAACCGCCATTGCGCAGGAGAATCCACCGGCTCCGTTGGGCGATGGGCAGATGGCAATCAAGAGGTGGAGAGACAGGCCAACGGCAAAGATCACTCCAGGCAACCACGCAGTGAGCGTTTGCATCTGAGGGAATCTCAGCGCCAGCGTCAAGACCAAGACCAACATCGCCAAACCGATCTCCACCAAAAGAGTTCCAAAGATGGAGATCTTCACAAGGGCAACGTTGACCTGCCCGAAGTAGTCCAGCCAATAGAAGTACTTTGCCAGGAGCTGTGCCCAGAGCACGGGCGCACAGGAGACGTGCAGATCGAGAAACGTGGAGTTCAGCTTCCAGATGCCTGCAAAGAGGTACAAGAGAGACAGCTGCGTGCAAAGCAAGGGCCGGGCGGCATCCAGGACGAAGGCGCATCGAGCATCGAAGGCGCAATGACGGCCGAGAGCGATACCTACAGGTAATTAATGGTAGCTTGAGGCGATTCAATCCAGAAAAGCTCTCAGAGCGATCCGTCAGGTTTGGCAGGACTTTCGGGGCTGTGTTTAAGCCTGAGATGCCTAAGGCCAGGATTGCCGCGAGGCTCAACTCCATGAGAGCAAAAGCATACTGGTAGTCCCAGGCGAAGGGGGCGGCATCGAGGACTCCCAGAACACCCAGAAGCTGCGAAAGCAGTAGCAGGGGCAGGAAGATCTCCCTTTGCAACTTCGACTTGTCCGAAGCCTGCTTCGAAACACCCAGCAAGGGCTCCGAAGGAGGGAGTTTTGGCCCTGGCGGCGTCGCAAAGGCGAAGCAGAGCCAGAAGCTGAGGCCCAAAGCTCCGCAGAGCTTGGAGAGCGAGAGCGCTTTGGAAGAAAAGGAGAAGGTCCCCCGCGACTCGGAGACGAAGATCACCTGAAAGAGCCCGGTCTCCAGGAACTTCATCAAAGCCCAGAGCCGGGCGTAGCAAAGGAGACGCCTGGGGGCGCTCTGAAGCCGCTCCATGACCGGCCGAGAAAGGCTCCGACTAGCTCCACCCGCACGCCTGGAATGCGTCTTGCACGGATCTGCACAAGCATCTCGCTTACCCGCTCTTTGAGCACACTTTTGCCTCCCGCTGCTCTCTAACTATTGGACCCCATGCCGCTCTGCTTGCAACCCTCCCTGTGAGATGTAGCCAGCTCTGGCAAGCAAGCGCGGCGACGCAAACACAGTCCGCGGCTGACACAGAAGCTGCTGCTTACGCGGTCCTTCTCGAATGCTGGCCTGTGACCACTGGCTCGAATTGTGTGGGCGAGCCACCGCCACCGTCGCCACCATCATCATTCATTATCAGCATCATCTTCATCATCATCATCGTCATCTTCATGCTGCAAAGAGCCGGCGAGAACCGTTGAACATATGCAATGGTTGAGGTGTAAAAACGTCTCACAAGTCCGAGGTCCGAGCACACGAAAGTCACCTGACTCCCCGCCGCTGCCTGCAAGGGCTTTANNGCTTGGTGCCGCTTTTAGGATCTCGGTCGTTATCAAATATTTCGGACTAACCCTCCATCCTAGGTCTCCTCGGGAAATTTTCCGAGGACAGCCTGCAAGGTTTGAACACTCTGCACTTCCGGATGTGCACTTTTTTGGCCGTGTGCGTAAAACTTATCACGCGACGAATTACAACTCACCTTCGGCAAAACTTGAAGTTGCAGCCGAGACTGCTTAAGTAAACTGCAGCTGTCAAAGGACAGCTGGAGTATACGGCCCATGCAAAACTACAAATCATTTAAATATGCCGGAAGATCCGCCCAAAACTGCACAGGAACAGAAGAGCCTATATAGCATAGCTACCAAAAATGGCTCGGGATGGCTCAGGCGTCAATGCTCCTCCTGGAAGCCTAAAGCGATGGCTCGGTTGATCCAAGCTTCCAGCACGAAGCGGTCGATGCAGCGAAACTCCACTAGGGAAAGAGCCGGGGATCTGGACTCAGCCTCAGTGCTGATTTTCGGGGGTAAGTTGACTATATAATCGAATAGACTAGACTATAATACAAAAAGAATAGACTATATTTATATATAGTATTTATGTATCATACTGGTAAGTTGTTGCTTTTTGTGGCCTCAGCTTTAGAGCAGCCTGGAGACTGCTTCCGACTCGGCGAGAGCTTGGAGGGCGATCTGGGCCACGACATCGGCTGGCCAGCCGCGGATGCCGCAGCCGAGACAGGGAAGGCACAAAGAGGAGGCGGAGAGATCGGCGGCCTTCGGGCTTGGGTTTTTGAGGGCCCCGGCCATTTTTTTTTTTGGAGGGGGGGGGGGGAAATTATGAGCTCTCCACATATACTTCTTTTTTGTTCTTGTTTTAAACTTCACCGGGCCTTGGAGAGGAGTTCCTGGAAGCTTCGACGGAGTAGTTGCCTGGCCTTCTCGAGAGTGAGCTCTTGCGGATCCAACCTCTCGCCGTTTGGTGCCGGCTTCGCTGCTGGATCCTCCGAAGCGGGGTAGCTGGGAATTGCGGTGTGGAGGAGATGTTTCACTTGCAACTCGGACCCCTTGGGCTGCGTCACCAGGACGTCACCGAAATTCAGCTGCCGCGTCTGTTGTCGGCACTCTTCTCGAAGACTCCGTCCCAAATAACGGTGCAGGGCTGCATCAGCGCTGTACCTTCCAGCGAAGCCCCACCAATCCGCCCGCTTCACGCCCTCCAACTTCTTGGACGTCGAAGTGGCCAGGACATCCCCGGCCCAATGAAGCACGTTTCCCTGAACGAATGCAATGCTTCCACCGGGTCCCCGGAAAGAGCGGCGCAAGGAAGCCAGGCAGGGACTGCACTTCAAGCT